ACATTTACCCCCCGGACAATTACCCCCCGGACATTTACCCCCCGGACAATTACTCACTTGTTGTTTATTATTCATTGTTGAACAGTGATACAGGGAAGAGGTCGAGAAGGAGGGACGAGATGAGGTGGAGGAGGAGGGGAGAAGGTGGAGGAGGAGGAGTTAGAGAAGGGAGGAGGTAGCGGAGGTCCAGGTGGTGGAGGAGAAGGGGAGAAAGTGGTGGTGGAGGAGGAGAGGAGGTGGAGGAGGTGGGGAGAAGGTGGAGGAGGAGGAGGAGAGGTGGTGGAGGAGGGGGTAATTGTACGGGGGGGGGGGTATTTGTCCTGATACCGTTGAATCGTAAAGTACACTAGTGTTACACATAACCACATAGCATATTCCACAGACGAATGCTAGCGGCTTAGCCATCTAAATTGACTGCTGGTACTCAAAATTGCATAAATTAATTTCTACGTTAGCATGCAGGCATTGGCAGCGTCTTTAGAAACTCAATCACTCGGTGGTCAACGAGTCTGAGAGTTCCGGGGAAGGGTCAAGGTCAAATAAGCTATAAAGCTCGTGTCACATAATCGTGGTCAGCCTGGGTCATGCGTGAGAGAGAGAGAGAGAGAGAGAGAGAGAGAGAGAGAGAGAGAGAGAGAGAGAGGGATCGAGAGAGGAAGAAAGGAGGGGGAAGAAAAAAATAAAGGGAGACAGAGAGATGGAGAGAAGGTAGGAGACACAGACACCGACAGACACACACACGCGCGCGCGCGCGCACACACTCCCACGCACACGCACACGAGAGATGGAGAGAGAGCGAGAGAGAAAGGAAGAAAGAGCGAGAGAACGCAGGAGGGAGAAAGAGAGCGAGAGAGAAAGATAAATAGATAGAAAGAGTGGGGAAGAGAGGGAGCGCAAGAGACAGCGAGAGAGAGAGAGAGAGAGGCTGCGCACGTGGATTCAGTCGTGGCGTGTCAGGCAGGCGAGTCCGCATCGATTCGAACAGCCGTCTGCCGCTTCACTCAGCAGCCATATATGCATCCCTGAACAGCCAGCTCCCTGTAGCTTAGCCCTACCTGTCACTAGGCAAGACGCTGTGATCCAGTTTTTGTTCGTCGCACGGTTTTTCGGCTCGACAGGCTCTACGTAACCGCGGCTTCGAGGAATTGTAACCAGTAATTTCGTTTTGAGGGGTGCGTGCTTGCCTCGCGTGTGTTATCGCCACTCGACTGTTAGACAGTAGCATGGGGTCCTACTGCAAATGACTGCCACTGCGATGATTCTAGCTTCTAGTTAATTTGATGCTGGCCAAGTGGTGCAGGCAGGGTGCCAACATTATCAACGTTGTGTGCACCGTTAATAATTAAAACCTATGGCTTGCGCTTCCTTTGTCCGTGTTTTTTTTGCCCGGCCATGGGGTGACAGCTGTTTTATGGCTGTGCATTTTTTTATCTGTCTGGATTCCATGAACGATACCCAATACTCGGCTATCGGCTTGCGTCTATGCACGCGCATGCGGTAGCTGAGGCAATATGGCCAGGGCCATTGCTATTCAGTTCACCTAAACTGAACCCTGTTATTACCGGAATGCCATTAAACTCTGGAAGAGAACTCGGGAGCCCCAACCTGAAACATGACTAACATATTAGTCGTGGATGTTTTCATCGCGGCAGCGTTCAACTTCATGCTGGCGTATTTGAGTATGAACGCAAGACGGGGGGTCAAGTACACTGTAGGAACGCGTTTTCGTGATTAAGACGTTAAATTTAAATGAAGTTAATATAACGTTCAAGGTTAACTAGAGTGATTATCAAGCTTTAGGTTCAAACGTATTAGCATGTTTAAGGTTCGATGCGGCCATAATGCATCCGTGAAAAATGGCGTACAATTGCTTAAAATTTTGCCGTGATCTGTTGTGAAATATTAATGCTGACTATTATGGCAGCCGAATGATTGACGTAGTTATTTAATCAAGTTTACTGTTGGGATCAGTTAACAATATCAGCAGGATACGTGCCATATATACGCAGGCTACCTTTGAAATAATATCATCGGTAGTATTATCGATAAAATGTAAGAAAATAGACAATCTATTTTATTTTATTTTATTGTCTCCTAAGTCGTGTAAAATATTTCACGAAGAATTGCGAAGTACCGCCGTAAACACACGCCCTACCTAGGGCGAAGTGAGTAATGACAAATACCCTCATGAGCAACAGTCTTCGCAGCTGTGTGGTCGCTGGCCCGCCAATGACCTTTTGAGGTCAAATCCCTGTTTTTTGCCACCGTTTTTCTTCCAGAATGCAGCGAGCTGGTAGTCTGCTGCCCACACGCACGCACGCATCCCCACACGCGCGCACACACGCACGCATGCATGCATGCGCACATACGTGCGGAGAGTAAGTGGCCTATAGACGGTTGATGATCTTTTCTGCTATCGTTTCAGAATACCGACTGGTGCTCAGCTACATTGCCACGGGCAACCTGCACAACCACCTAAAGAACAACGTCCTCAACTGGTCGGAGTTTGTTCGCATAGCACTCAGCGTTAGCTCTGGTCTCGCCCACCTGCACCAGGACATTCTAAAAGAAGGTAGGTGCGCGCGCGCGTGTTGAGTTGGCGAATTGGCGAATTGCTGAATTGCTGAATTGCCGAATTGCCGAATTAGAACATGTTCTAATCTCCCAACTAGCTGCTATCGATCGGTTGACCGTGCAACTTTTACGTTTACACTGCCGATTGTCAGTTGCGAAATTGCGAAGTTGGTACAATTCGCCAATTCGCCAACACGAAGTTGGCAGTGTAAGCCTGTGCTGCGGGGAGTGACGGGCTGGAACTGCGCATGGTCAGGAGTAGCGGCGGAGGGGGGGGAGGGGGAGCAACGTGTAGGGAGGATGGAACTAGTGTTAGATCCACCAGGCACTTGGGACAGAGTCAGTAAAAACTGGAAATAATATGAACGCACATTCACAAATACTACTCCTTAATTACACTGCCACTGTTGTGTCACTGTATATCAACTTGCTTTCACAAAAACTAAAGCAGAACTAACCGCTCCCGCACTCGCCGTTTCGAGTGTGCTGTGTCGCCGTTGTAGTGATATATATATAGATATAATCAATATATATATATACCCCAAGTCCCGCTGTCCCAAGTGCCTGTGGTTAGATCTACTGACGCGCTCGAAGAGTCGCCGTGCTGGCGATGTGCTACGCGTTGCTGTTTGCTGGTAACCACGTGCATTAGTATTCTTTGTTGTTGTTGTTGTTGTTGTTGTTGTTGTTGTCTTCTAGTTTCTTGCTTTTGCGATAATTTGGGGGGCATTAATGATGGATGGGATGGCGTGGGATCATCTGATTCTGCCACACGCGGGAAGGAGGGGCCTGTGGGCTTGCGCTACTAATTTGCGATTGTGCTTCGAACGTGTGGCGTCGCACTGTCTTCCTATGGCCTTCCTGTATTATGTTCGGAATATCCGCTGCACGAGGCGGGTTTCCGTGAGTCGTGCTGTCGGGTAATTTTCAGTTCGACGTGCGTCTCCCCCTCTCACTTTCTCTCACTTTCTCTCACTTTCTCTCTCTCTCTCTCTCTCTCCTTCTCCCTATCTCGCTCTCTCTCTCTCTCTCTCTCTCTCTCTCTCTCTCTCTCTCTCTCTCTCTCTCTCTCTCTCTCTCTCTCTCTCTCTCTCTCTCTCTCTCTCTCTCCTCTCTCTCTCTCTCTCTCTCTCTCTCTCTACTCGCTCTCTCTCTCTCTCTCTCTCTCTCTCTCTCTCTCTCTCTCTCTCTCTCTCTCTCTCTCTCTCTCACTCTCTTTCTCTCCCCCCTTCGCTCTCTCTTTTGTTCTCTCTCTCTCTCTCTCCATCTCTCTTGCTTTCTCACCGCCCCTCCTTCCCCCTCTTATGCGTACATGTATTTCTGTTCTACGTACTGTGGGGAGGGTGACTCGCCCCCCCCCCTTCGCTCACGCTCGCCCGGGCTTTCCCCCGGCAGCTCAGCATTCAGGGACTCCTCTCTCTCGCCGTCGCCGCGCTTGTTGAATTGCAAATGTGTGTGCGCGCGGCCCTTTCAAAGGGGGAAATAAACGTCCTCCCAAGTTGAATTGCAAATACGGCCGCGCTGTGTGTTGGCGGCGGCGGCGCCTGCACGCGGGTGCTGGTGACAACGTCTGCCACGGGATCGTCACGGCAACGGTCACCCCGCGTGTTATTGAACCACGGGCGCGCGCAGCCGCCTGCCCGATATTTTTAGGTGCGCGCGGTTTTTCCTGCGCACGATTCTTTCCCCCCCCCTTCCAGTCGAATAATTGATGGCGGACGGCAGCTGCCGCTTTACGCGGCGGCGGTGGTGGCGGTGGTGGTGGCGGCGGCGGTAGACGTGATGTCGGCAGCCGATATGACACATGTCCGATGTCACGATGTGCCCGGCGAGCGCGAGTCACTCGTGAATTATACGCGCACGCACGCACGCACGCACGCACGCACGCATGCACGCACGCACCCAAGCACGCACGCCAGCACACGGATTGTCTTCTATTACGGACTCTTGTTATCATCCAGCAGTGCGTGGAGGGACACGCACGCACGCACGCACGCACGCACGCACGCACGCAGACACTTCGCGGATGTATTACAGCATCATAGCCTGGATGCATGCGTGGAGGGAGAAATACTGCACACGCCTCCATACACGCACGTACGCATGCACGCACCCACGCACTCACGCACGCACAGACGCGCATGGCACATGCACACGTTCTCTGCATGTACGCAGACGCACACACACGTGCAGTGTGGATGGATATTCTGTGGTTTGCGAGTGCCGGTCTGGCGTTGCTCGCACACGATCAGGATGAATCCAAGCGATGTAGATTTTCCACCATAACATTAGACTGACTCAACAAATCGTTGTTGCGTACCTTAGCCCCATGGGCGGCACACACGTGGAGTTCTGGAGTCAGTCTATCAACATGCTGCAATCATGTCACGGTCCCTTGTATAGAAAGGAGCCGTGCCCATGCTGCGTTTGTTCACACAAACCCAGGCAGGAGTGCCGAACCTGGGGAAGCAGCAAATAAAGAAGGGGTTAACGCTCCCGTTTTATGTGCCCCTCTAGGGCACGGCATTTATGCATGCATCGAGTTTTCGCAGCGAGCCGCGACTTTCTTTGCCAGTCGCGCAGTAAGTCATGTTTGCGCGTGTAATGTGCAACCCGTGCAATTCTTGGTGAGGCCCAGGTGAGCTTTGTGGTCAGATCTCTTATGCGTGTGATGTAAATTATTCCTGCCTAGCGTGTTGCAGCCCGGTTGATCACGAGGGGGTGGTTGAGCGCCTGCCAGGGTTAAGTATGCAGACTACTGGTTGCGTGCCTTGTACTTTTGGCTACCCTTTATATGTTGCGTACGGTGCTGAATAGATAGCACGTTATTAAAAACTAAAGCCCCGAAGCCTGTTTGAGGAATGACACGAAATGTTTTTTTAACGAGCACGCCATTGTCATAGGATTCGGATTCTAATTACATGTGTCATATTCCAGTGTGCATTTATCGCCCATTTGGAATGTGTATTCAAAAGGCGAGACGTGATGAAATTATCGTTCGGGAATTTAAGCAGGATTGTGTGGCTGTCGCAGATTGTGGTCTCATCTGCATGGTCCTAAAACATGTCATCCCTCGCTTTCATCTTCCAGATTTAGTATTGAAGGAAGGATGTAGATGATTTAGGTTTCTAAGAAAAGCTGAATGAAAATGCTTTCTGTTAAGTATGAGAAACCGGAGTCTAACGTGTTTTATTCGTTTTCATTAATTTCACTGTGTGCCTGAAACGGGGCCTAATGCACAAATGACGACTATTTTCATTTTAGCTTTTATTTTCGTTATCTCCTGTACAGCCTAGCTGCTTAAGCTTACACTTTGGTTCTTGTTCAGTTAGTAGTTAAAATATATGCTTCATATAACTTCATATATATGTGGTATTATTTAGGGGGTATTTCACACTGCTGGGATTCATGTGTTCCCAAACTTTGAATGCATTTCGTAAAGAACATGTTAACAGCGTTAATGAACTTTTAGATCCCGTGCAAGGAAGTGGCCAAGAGTATCGTGTAGCATAATAAACGTTTTGGGAACGCATGTTTATTGTTCTTAGTAGAGTCAAGTTTGTTGACCATTCGTTGCTGCATACTTGTCTAATGTATCTGAGGTTGAACGTCCCGATTACGTAGCCGCCTGCTCTCTCGCACGCAGCCGGATGGCTTCATCTGAACTGTGCTGTTGCTCACACCGCACTGTTGCTGACTGTTGCAGATGTGCACAAACCTCCCATTGCTCATCGCGACATCAACACTCGCAACATTCTAGTCCAGCCCGATGGGACGTGCGTCATCTGTGACCTGGGCTTCGCCATTAGAACCAGCGGTTCCAAGCTCATCCACAGCGGCTGGACGGACAACGCCGAGCAGGTCTCTCTCGTGGACGTGAGTACCGACTCTACGCGAACGCAACGCCAGCGGTCTCACCGGCCGTGCGGTGACAATGTATTTGTTCTCATCCCTGCAGGCTCCCAGCCATGTATCTCATACAGCTACACTACCAGGGGTTCAAACAAAATAACTATGACGATTATTATTATTATTATTATCATCATCATCATCATCATCATCATCATCATCATCATCATCATGGACTCTTAATGTTACCAGTGTATTAAGCATGCATTTCAGTAGCTTGGTGAAATTAGTAGCCATGACGTTTATCTGCCCTATTAGCTTGTATATCTTCAACGTTTGTTCGCAACAGGTGGGAACGGTTCGTTACATGGCACCAGAGATCCTAGAGGGTGCTGTGAACCTTCGCGACTGCGAATCGTCCCTGAAGCAGATTGACGTGTATGCCTTGGGACTGGTGCTATGGGAAACGGGCATGCGTTGCTCTGATCTCTTCCAGGGTAAGTGGAGTCATGTTGTGCATGGTCTTGCAAGTGCGTATGGATATATGCGTACGTGTGTGGATGTGCGTGCGTGAGTGCGTGCGTGACTGGGCATGAGTGCGTCTCCAAGCTTTAGCCACTACAGTTGCACTAATGTTAGATACAATAAGGTGATGGGATTTAGTTATTAGTCGGTGAATTTTTCTAGGTTATTGTAATGACGAAAGCTGAATGATTGCATGTCGAACAGGATTTGGCAATCATGCTAATGCGCTACCGGTAACACCTGACACTGCTAAACCATTACATACTACGACAGTTATGAGCATCCGTATATAGGAAGACTGCGATCGCTGTCTGCGATTTGAATTAATGTGATGTGTTCCTTATTGCAGGCTTAGAGCTGCCAGAGTATCAACTGCCATTCCAGGAGGAGGTTGGTCCACATCCGTCGTTTGAAGACATGCAGGATGTCGTGTGCCGAAACAAGTGGCGCCCGCGATTTCCCGATGTCTGGAAAGACACTAACCAGGTGCAAACCTTGAGCTTATCACTTTGTGATAAGATTCGTGATGAGATTTCTGGATTGTGGATCACAAATCTTGGAATCTGCACTGGCATTGAATAGCAGTGCAGTACTCTCCGCCGTTCTCGAGGGCGTGGTAACGAGAACGACTAGTCATTTGTGATTTTACGACGCACTCATGCCAGTCGTTCGTTAGTGGGGTTTTAGTGGGGGAACCGCTGGCCACGTAGGTTCACAGTGTGTACCAGTGGTTGTATAAAACCACTGGGTTTGGACCGCTGGTCTTGAAAAAATGTATCGCCTAGTCGTTTTAGGTGGGTCGCAACACTCCAGTGACAGCCTGTAGCTTCAGTTGTAATCCAGTAGTGGCCGAAGCTATGAAAGCTGAGGGCTGAAGCACAGAATTTGTAAGGTTGAGCAGCACTAGTGTGTGTAGACTTATGGTCGCATGAGCACTGGTGTATGTAGGCTAACAGTCAACATGTATTGCTGCAGGCAATCAGATCTCTGAAGGAGACCATTGAGGACTGCTGGGACCAGGATGCTGAGGCCCGGCTGACTGCCCTCTGCGTGCAAGAGCGCATGCTAGACCTGCCCATCCTATGGGAGCGCCAGAAGATGAAGGGTAGGTTGACGCAATTTTGCTCGCTGCAAGAGAGCGAAGCATGCACGGTAAATTTCCGATGCATCGCTGATCCTAATCTCTAGTGCCTCTAATAACGTGCTGGTATACCCTACTACTGCCACCAATACTGTCCCTATGGCTATTGCTGCTCGCACCATCACTCTAAACTTGTTGTTACTACCACGAGTAACCTTGCTCTGGGACTGCTACATAAGAGAGTCAACAATAGAAACGAGTCGAGTCATAAGAGAGTCAACGCGACATACAATAAAGACTCTCAATGATACATGTATGCACACACGCACGCACGCACACACATTCATTTACACTATCTCTTGCCGTGTTGCTATCTCTTTTTCCTTCTTTCCTCCCCACAAATCTCCTCACTCTCTCACTCTCTCTCTCTCTCTCTCTCTCTCTGCTCTCATCTCTGCTCATCTCATCTCTCTCTCTCTCTACTCTCTCTCGTCTCTCTCTCTCTCTCTCCGTCTCTCCCTCCTCCTCTTCTCTCTCTCTCTCTCTCTCTCTTTCTCTCTCTCTCTTCTCTCTCTCTCTCTCCTCTCTCTGCTCTCTCTCTCTCTCTCTCTCTCTCTCTCTCTCTCTCTCTCTCTCTCTCTCCTCTCTCTCTCTCTCTCTCTCTCTCTCTCTCTCTCTCTCTCTCTCTCATCTCTCTCGCACTCTCTGACTCTCTCTTTCACCTCTATTATATATGGCTCAAACTTTACCACGACACCAACAGCAAGTGCCGTGGCGATATTCATGATATCCATGGCAACCATCCACAGATGCCATATCCACCCCATCCCTTGTAGTTTATGTATGCCTTTTTGTCGCCACATCAGTGTTGTTAAAAGTGGTCTTATGATAACCCATATTTGAAGAAATCAAATGTTTCAATTGGTGTCCACCCAACTTGCCGTAGTGCCCTAAAATTGATTAGCCAAATTGAACTCCAAACATGTTCTGTCTCTGTATATATATATAATATGTATTATATATTATATTATATATATATATATATAATATATATATATATATATATAAATCAACTGAAGATTTATCATTAGTTGGGTTATGTTACTTTGTTGCATGTGTTACAAAGTTCAATATCCATAAACATAGACTGTGGGCATTTTTTTCAGGGATTAGCCCTTCAGTGAATCCCCAACAGCTGAGAAACCCAAGCTCATCGACAGGCCCAGACTCACCTGACTACAGTGAACCCACAGATAGGAATGGCAACAACGTCGATCAGCGTGAAAGTATGTAGTAGTGACTGACTGCCATCCTAACTATAGTGGTTAATGTATGACTGGCCATGCTCACATCATCCGAGCTCATATACCTGCGATTTAACAAGAGTTTTCCAGCAGTAGTTAATTTACATTTCAAATTTAATATTACATTTAATTTACATTTCAAATTTAATATTACATTTAATTTACATTTCAAATATTAACACGTTCCCCACAAATGGCTCGTGTAACATCGTTTGACTAAAATTTCATTTATTCCCAGTGAACCCGATCAATCGTGTGATTAAAGTCGTCTTGTATATCATGAATAGTCATTGCATTTCAAGCCGATGAACCACACGAGACTCATGCTTTGCTACCCTCTGGAAGCGGAAGATACCAGCGGTACCACAATGACGCATCCATCTCCGAAAGTACCGCGGAAACCATTGTGATGTCGCCTAGCGAATCGGAGCCACCTCCGAGGCCAACGAAAGGTGAGTAATGACACGACACGTAGTGTGTGGCATCTGCGTAACGGCTAACCCTTCATCCATGTTATTTGCACATTGTCGGAAGCACAGACTTGCTATCCTGGTGGTAACTGCCAGATCTGGAGTTTCGTCCTCTACGAAGACTTTTCTTCCGCATTGCAGGTAATGTCAACCAGTTTATGGTACAGCAGAAGCAGGCAAAGGTGGAACCGCACCAGGGACGCAATCCGTGCCTAGAGCGCAACATTAACACAGAGGAGGAGCGTCCTCTAGCTGTCAGAGGCAACACTCTCATTGATAAGGACAAGGTGCGAAGTACTGCTGTGATGTTTTTTCACAGCTTTTTAAGCTGGTGCAACGTTTTTACATCGTTATATCTCCTATTTATCATTAATAGTCATAATAGTCATAATAAAAACAAATATAATCATTTGCGACATTTTTGCTTTGTAGGTGGGTAAGGCTCCGTCGAACACAGGTGGCGATACTATGTTTGACAGCCTAACGGACAATCTGCAGACAGCGTTGGTGCAAAACGAATCGCTACCCATACAGGAGCGATCAAACCAACAGGTGGCGCCACAGAACGATGCGCTTCCGCCACGAGAACGTCCAAACTACACGGCGGCGCCGATCCCGTACGTGCAGAACGCCGTCAGAGACGGCGGCATCGCAAAGTGTCCGAAACAAGAGAACGTGCCCGGCAACGGCACGCACAGGAACTTGGCGATGCCAGCCGGCGCGGCGGGCCCTGCGGCCGGTCCGCATCGCGTCGCCGGCGCCTCGCCGTCGTCGTCTGCCAAGCGCGACGACAAGAAGAAGGACAAGAAGTCGAAGGGAGGCCTCATGTCGCTGTTTGACAGGAAGCTGTTCTCACACGGGAGCAACCTAGCCAAGCCGGCGCCGCCTCCGGCTGCCGCTGGGGGTCACCACCAGAGGGCGAGTTCTGATAGCAGCAGCGGCGGGCAGAGGTTGCAGGGCGAGGGTGGCCACCAGCGGTCCGGCTCGGACAGCGGCAACGCCGCGCCGGTCAACACGGAGGTGAGACTCGTCAACGGAAACGCTCACACGGTCGTGAACAACATTTTTCCCGGTGACTCGGCCGTCGGTGGCGGTGTCGGCGGCAGGGTGGTTGGGCGGGCGGAGCTGGGCGTGGCGTCGAAGCGCGAGCTGGCCGCCGCGCCGGAGCAGCTGGCGCTCGTCTGCAGCAGCCGCGCGGATACTGACGAGCGTGCGCCGCGACCCAGCATGCTGCCCATAGAGGGCGCCACCGGAGAGACGTCAGGCGAGCCAGCAGAGCCGAGCTTCCCCGGCGACGGCGGGCAGGCGCTCGCGGTGAGGCCTGAGAGCTCGCTGAGCGACGACGAGATGATCGACCTCGCTCGGACACGGAACGGCGACGTTGCGACACGGAATGACCTCGCGCCGACATGGAACGGCGACATCGCAACACGAAACGACCTTGCGCCGACACGGAACGGCGACGTCGCGACACGGAACGACCTCGCGCCGATGTGGAACGGCGACGTGTCACCGGCGTGGAACGACCGCGGCTCGAAGCGGGACGACCTCGCGCCGAACTCTTGGAATGGGTGCCTGCCGTCGAGGAGCGGGGCGACGACGGCAGCGCGCGCCGAACCACCGACGACGATTCACGAGCAGCAGCCGCCGCCGCCGGCGCTGAACAACGTGGCGGGGTCGGCCGGCAGGCATCCGAAACCCGTCAACGGCCTCATCATGAACGGCCCGCAGCCGCCGCCGCTAACGTCGATCACACACGGCGCCGTCGGCAAGGTGCCGAACGGTGTCGCACCCACCGGCGCTACCCAGCAGCTGCCGAACAACCTGACGGCTGGCCGGGCGAAGGGCGTCGCGAACGGCAATCTCGTGCAGAGCTCGCCCGAGATCCCCTACAGCGTGTCAGTGTTGTAGCCTGGCGGCCGCCGCCGCCGCCGCGCAGGCAGAGCAGGGCGGGTGTTAGCAATGAGGAGTGACTTCTGTTAATCGCTACTGCATTTACTGTTTCGTTAAATGTTTTAAATACAAACGCAGACAGTCTGTCGGACAAACACACGCACATACACGCACGTGCACACGTGCTCAGGTGCGCCTGCACACACACACATACACGCGTACGCGCTCACACACACATACACACACAAACGCACGCACACACACACACACATACATACACATACATAAATATAGATAAGTATGTGTGTGTGTGTGTCCATGTACAGAGTAAACAGTGTCTGGGACAAGGTGTCATACCCACACTGCTGGCACCCTGATTTCAACACGTAGACCCTGCCTTTTGAGGGAAAAGTTTTGCTTTGTTGCTACTTTCTAGTCAAGTGGAAAACATTATGTGAGGTACTACGTAACGTTTTTGCTCACTAAGTATGAAAGCCTACTGTGACTGTGTCAGCTAAGGGAAGGGAGGCAAGAAAGCGTCTGGAAAAATACAGTTTGCCATGCTTTCCCTCGACATTAAACTAGTTGTGATCTGAGCTGTGTTGTAAACGCGGCCGATAAATTCAGCGGCGGTGATTTTAACACTATCTATAATAAAAGTCACAGATTAAACTTCTCCATTATATGGAATCGGAAAGTAGCATTGCAGTTGATGTTTCGTTGGCAGAAGCTTGGTTACTCTAATGGCCTAAAGTCTGACTAATATTAACGCTAATGCTCAGTCTCGATCATATTACAGCATTTGTGTAAAATTATCTAAATTCTAATTTTCTCACACTACTGATACAGGTGATAGTGTCTAATTAATTATTGCATCATCTTTATTGTTTTGCAGTTGTTTTGAGATCCGTGTTTGCTATGATATTCCACACGTAAAGGTGATGTCCACCAAGCATTATGAGATGATGCAGTGGACAACACCTTACGCTATAACACTGCTTTTTGTAAGTAATCTATAGGTTTCTGCTGTTGGGCCATTGGATGGCACCCGTTGATTTGTACATCTTAAGGATTTCGCTCAAAATTATGGGATTTACATGCTTTTTAGCCAGGCATCAAATGCTTTCTATCCATATTGTAGGTTATGTGTATAAAGTCAGAGTGAGATACTGTGGGTGAGTAGGGACCGTGATTAGGTCAAGGAGCCCTAGTTGAGTCCAGGAAGGCTAACCAACATGGTTAAACGGCACTTGGGACGGAATGCTTTGAGTTATTCCATGAATATTTCTACAGTGCGCTGGCGCTGGGAGCTGCTCTTGTGCTGACCGTGGCTCTGCGTGTCGGTTGACTCCAGCAGCTGAACCTTTCCTTTGTATATATGTACTAGTGGAGACTAGGTAGTGTTAGCTACCTAAGCTGTTCGGGTTATCCGGAAGCGAATCTGGGCAGGATTGTCGTGATCGGCTGTTAGGTTTCAGACGTGCTCGCATCTAATCACACACACAGGATACCGGTGAAATGCGAGGGGATAAAGATAGCAGTGAGTGCACTTAGTAAAGGTATAGTTATCAGAGCTCCAAGTTCTTATTTCTTCACTAAGTGTTGCCTTCGAGAGAGCTAAGAACAACAGCCGATCGAGTTCGTTTCGAATCCCTTGCGTTGGGCTAGCGTGGCTAGGCCTAGCTACAGTGGTGCATCGTCTGACCCGAGGCACCGTAACGTAAACTTTGTCGTAGTCGGCTTCGTGCTGCACGAACGATCGCCTACTGTGAATACCATGTCGAGGTCCTCCATTTATCCCTGTAGTGGGTTCCAGTCTGAAGCAGCCGCGAGCTTTGCGTGTCGCTTGCAGGCTTAGAGCGCCATGGTTCTTAATGTGGCAAGCACACCGTGTACCCTCCGGTAGGTCCCTGTTGGGTCTGGATGTAGGCGTATAACCTGTGCTGCCGACTCACAGAAGACTGCAGTCCGGTTTCGATATCGTGATATTTTCGTAGTTGAGAGTGTATGTGCTGACTTTACCTACTTGTTTCCGTGGGTGTGCATAGCTGACAGCATGCTATGTATTCTACCATGACGATTGACAGATGTTTCTTTTTGTTGGGCATTTTCCTGATGTCACTTTGTCCCTTATTTGCGTTATTCATCCCTAGCTCTCTGTATACGTCTAGAGCAGTCGGTTCTTCGAGGATTCTTGTTGTTTAATGTGTATATTAAAGTTACATGGTAACATTGGTTTGAGCGGTAGCAATGTGAAATGCCACTGCAGAGAGCAGTGAGTATATATAAGAAAAGCATTTTGACTGCTGCTTTCAATGTCATTTTTTTTATTTGTAAAAATTCTTGTCCTGTTTTTAATTTGCAATGGAAATTTGCAGGAACACACTGTCTTGATAAAGGATTTGTGATATTTCTGTGTACACCGTGAAAGTTTGGCATCCATTTCGACCTGCTGTGACTAACGAGTGTTTCCACTATGAGTCTCTGGTTTTAGAATCATGTCTCAAGTTGTCAGAAATTCTTCCAATCCATTCACTCCCCCACCCTCTTGTAAATTATATCGCATTCATCTCGCTCCAACTGTGAATATGACAATTTCTTGGGGAAATTTGCTTCTTTCGTATCATCGCATTGCTAGGAACTTGTTCACGGTAGTTGTCCATTGCTACTATGTATAGTAAGTAGGAAGTCAATTTTACAGATCACTGATCGGCACATTATATATAGCATCTACTCTATAGAAGACGAGATGTGGGTAGATTTTACTGTAGTGCCAGGTGCAAAATGCTCCCACTATGTAATATAAAAAAAATGTCTCATTGTTGACTCGGTTTACTTCCATTTAATCAGTTCAATGTTGATGTAACATATCTCTTAAAAAAAAGTTTCAATAGTTTTGCTGTTTATTGCTTAAACTATGCAACTGACTATAACAAGAACACTATAGGCATGACTACATCTAAGGTAACTTTGCTCAAAGACGAAAAATAACCTTAACTGTTGACATTCAGAGTGACCCTCTCTCCCTGAGCGCACGCATGCACGGTAGTGTGCGTGGCCTATACTTCCCTCACCCCGACCATCTTTGCAGCCACATACCTTCGCTTGTAAGATATTTTGCTTTTCTAGGTTTGTGCTAACTGGGAAATTATTTTTGAAAATCGCTTTAGATTGAGTTGGTGCTTTATATGTGTTGAGTATAAGCACATGGTTAAACACGCAGCCGAATAGTGTGATATATCATGTATAGCTTCTTTTGTTGGCTCCTCACTACAGTGTGGTGGTGATTAGCTGGCCAACTGTTGCTGTGCTTTTATGTGTTGCCAGTGATGTCTGCATAAATGTGTCTGTGCTTGTTTCCAAATATTTGCGGGTCTGGAGAGAAATTTTGATATCTTTATCAGTTATAGTTTGTCAGTGAACGGGCACAAAGCGGTGTTGCTGTCTGGCCAGGGAGCACACCTATGTCTGATTCCATATTTTAGAAACGAGAGTGTGTATGTACATTTACGTGTATGTGTACAGATGTAAACTTGCTTTCAAAACCAGTCGATTTTTATTCGTGGAAGAACCTTTTGACTTTTACACACATTTCATAATTAGGAGCTAAAACGCAAGTAAAATGTTTTAAAAAGGTGTCCTAGTTGACATGATTTTGTGCCCTGTACTGCCAGGCAGGGATGCTCTTTTGGGAGCAGAGTGCCAATTGGCCAGAAAGAGTGCAAGGATCTGTTGAGAGGGGGCAATGTGACAGCAAGGACAAACAACGTGGTGAACTAAGTGCTAAATGTTTGTACACAAATATTTATCCAATGCTTTTTGCTTCATCCGCCTTCATGCCGTGTAACTGACTGTGGATTTATGTCACACCCAGGGAGCGCTGCTATTTGTGCACCGATTTCATCGTGCGAGTGAGTGAGTGTGTGTGTGCATGTATGTACGCGTTTGTGCAAACTATATTTACACACACTCACACACATATGTATGTTAATATGTATGTATGTACGTATGTACACTTGTGTGTGTGCGTGAGTGTGTGTAAGAAAGCTTATTATTGCAACAAACTGCATTCTTATGTACTAATACTATATATGGATGTGTATTTTGTATGAAGAAACAGTCTCAATAGGTATAACAAATATTTATCGTTTCCATGACTGTTGGCTTTGTACTACTAAGAGGTACTCTGACAAGAAGGAAGATAAGAGGCAATGGTGGGTGAGAAAAGAATTGTGTGCATCTCTTTACAACACAGCTAGACGTGTTTAATGCTAACTGGTATATCCCAGTGAGCCACAGATGTGACTAGGCTTCATTTGCCATGCAAATGCCAGAGAAACATGAAGTGTGGTGTGCGTGTACCGGTGTACCCTGTAGAGTGTACATTTAACAGAGAACCCTGGGTGTGATTGTGCAGTTGTACAAGCAAGATTATAATATGCTATATTAAAACTGAAAGTGGATATAAATTGCACGCATTTTACTATTTTGTTGCATGTGATTTGCCATGTGTACAATTGAATAAACACAATCAAACACGAAATTGCAGAGTATAACATCCGGTAACATTTAAAGGAAGGTATTAGTATTTTAAATAGTAATTGAATTTTTACAAATGTATTTAAAAAAACTGAAAATATAAATAACAATAATTTAAAAAATAAGAGATCGAATTTAAAAGTACCACGTATAGTTCAAACTACCGGTACTATTAGGTTAAATTGATCTTGATAAACCTTACGTATCAATGTTATAAACCGTTTATGTGCGCTTGACACTATACATACCATGACAATTCCACACTATATCACTGACAAAGATGAGATTAACTTGGGTATTGTTACTAGCCACTGTTAGACCAGTATTTTGTCTTGGTCGAAGAAATCTAAGATGTTGTTACAGGTTATAGAGTCAACAGATGATTGCTGTAGCTGTGCTGCACTAGAGGCCGCCACTGCTGCTATGCTGCCAAAGCAATCCAGCAGCACATTGCTCTCTGATTATTGACAGAATATTAAGGAAGTAACTGCGAATAATACATTGCCAACAAGCCAGATAATTAATAATACGCCACTACCACTACCATATTATCAAGAGTAGATAATAGGAGATTCTCCTATTATCTACTCTTGATATTATATACACATATGATACGCACGCAAAAACACAGAGTGTAAAAGAGAGAAGGGGTGAGGGAGGTAGACCACATTACACATGTTCATGCCACTACCTCTGCCTCTACCACAGGTATAGGTCCTTGTAATGCAGGATTCGCATGGTAGGCTTAAGCCATTGTAAGGATTGGCATGGCAGGCTTAAGCCATTGTAAGGATTGGCATGGCAGGCTTAAGCCATTGCAAAGTAATTATTATAGAAAGTAAATACACGAAAATGTCATTTCCCAGATGTGTGATGCAGTCTTTTGAAAACTCAGGTCTGCTATCTTGTAAACTAATGTAAGTCTGAATACTACATGGACCAGAGTGCTTATACAAGAGAGAGGATGTATGCCCACAGAAACGAGTTTGTATCAGTCTCAGCAATTAGAGAAAGCTGGGTCAGCAAAACACAATTTGTATATGAAAGATAAGGATAAGGATACGATGCTGGCTCAGACCAAGCTGCTCTAATGCCTGCACAATGACCTCACTGGACGTTTGGCTTGACAAAACCCACCTTACCTGGGCTTGTATCACCTCTTTTCCTGTCTTACACATTACCTGCAAATTTATTCGTGAGTTAGACGTGAATCAGATATATAAATTAGTAGTATCTAATGACCCTATGTAAGTATCGTAATGTTAATTTACTTGGGCAGGGGCGGATCCAGAGGGGGGGTCGAGGGGGTCCGGACAACCCCCCCCCCTAAGTGGACTTCGGCAGCTTTGTAAAACACCAGAAAAAGTAAGCAGGAAAATCTCTTCCTGGACACCCCCTTTTCAATAATCCTGGATCCGCCGCTGTTGGGTATATATACCTTGGCTATAGTAGACATGTGGTCAGTACAGTCTTGTGCATTGTGGGCCACAAGGATGCCTAAATTTGTGTCAAAAAACTTTTGCTGTAGTGCAATAAGAGCTGCATGTTCGTCTTTTCCGTGTAAAGTGGATGTAGCGATCACGTAACTATGGCGATGGATCTTGAGCATCTCTTCTATTCTGCAATGTAGTACGCACGCATGCACATTGCACACACGTACACAAGCGTGAACGCACGCACGCACGCACGCACGCACGCACGCACACACACACACAAGCGCGAACACACGCACATATTTGTATATATTTGCATTTAATTAGCAATGGTAGGGGATGACAATCTAATAAGTAAGGCAACAATAAAAAATATAATAATATAAGGCAAGGAAGAGGAAATGGGGAAAATTTAAATAGTCTGCTATGTAGGCATACCTTTCAACAATGTGTGGATTAAGAGAACACAGTTCATCTGGTGGCCACGTTACAAGAGTTTCCTTCAAAGAAACTACCATAAATGCAATCCCAGACAGTGGGAAAATGCAACTGTGCCAAACTGTGCTGTCAGCATCTGCAGAAAATAAATTGCTTAAACTCATCAAACTATAAATCGCACCCCATCAGTTTTGTGGATTAGTTTTAATTAAATCAGGGCAGCTTATACACTGTTTTTACTGTTGAATATATGAGATATAACTATTATATATAACAACCTCAGAAAATGTTGTCAGGTTGATCCTGTTTTCAGAGGCGTTTTTATCTAAGCGAAAGCGCTTTACGGTTTCGCAAATCTTCCATTTATCTAGAGGGTTTCGTGAAAGCGCTTTGGTCGTTTCTCGTTTTTATCTAGACGGTTTGCGAAAGTGCTTTGCGAAACCGTCGAAATCGCCCAGCGAGCGATTTCAGACAGTTTCAACATTCAATATGGCGGATAGTCAAACGTAAGTTATTAAGTAGTTTACTTAATAAATGATTATATAAGAATAATAAGTTAATGTGTTATAAAAACGTACAAAGATCAGCTAAATCCTAACCAAATGGTGATACATCTTGCGTTGTTTTTATGTAACAAAAGCGCTTTCACCAAACCGCTGATCACGTGATTTAGGAAACCGATTTACCGATTTCGCTTAAATAAAAACGCCTCAGAATTTGCTTATATTTGCATATGCATCGCCATGGTTTGTTTATTTATTTGTTGCATACGAGTTGAATACCAGCAATGAATAAACAAAAACCAGCTTCTTCAATATTCGTATATATTCGATAAATTTCATGTAATGAGCAGTATAATGCAGTGTAAATAAATATCAAGTGTAAATCAATCGAAAACTATGCTATTCATTCATACATACACCTAACTCTGTAGATACGCTTCAACTGCTTATCAATCTCGTCGTTTTGGAGAGAAGTATGGACGATCACTGGCCAACTAACGTGGGATTCTTTGCCGGTAGAATGAGTTTCCATTTCGGTCATCGATCTCACGCGAACTGATTTTTATGCATAAATAGGCCTATTAATTATTACAGTACTAATACTAGATCATAAATAAATGGTTTATAGCTTTGGTTTATAGTCTGCTGAGTTGTTAATCATTCATACGGCCACTAGCGACCTCTTTCGGAGAAGAGTGGATGTATTACTTCTAAAATCTTTATGAATATTGACAATAAATCTATATGCCTGATAAAAAGCTTGAAAAACATTCTATTGGCATTGACAGGGTGTACATTATACATTATCATATTACCAACTACGAGTGTGACAATTCTATAGCTGCTAGCTGTACTTATACTAATAATTATATTTTACAATTGTGATTTTGAACGAGTAGCACACGAATCAAGGAATGAAGCTGCATATTCGCTATCAAAAATAATTGTTTTATCAGACATCCCTGTTTACTACGCTTATGTGTCATAAGTGAGGAACATATGTGTCATTATGTGTTATAACTATGTCTTATATGTTATTAAATGGTAATTAAGCATTCACCTCTGCGACAGGAGTATACACTGCTATTACATTTCCTATGGGTATTTTATCGTGAAGGCTAGGAGAATACTACCTTAGCAATCGCTTCAAAGTGTCATTCTCTGCAATTTAAATGCATGCCGAAAATAGGGTTGCATGGCCATATACAAGAGATTTCGCCCCTGTAGCTATACAGTGCGATCGAAGCGCTCAAATTGACTCCGATAAAACTTAGAAAGATTCCCACAAATCAGGTTCGTGCAAATCAGTATATAGCTTTTCAGGTGTCAACTTAATTCTCTAATCGATATATAGTTTAATAAATCTTTTAATATATACAGATATTATTATTATTATTATTATGAGGATAGAGAATGAGTGTTTTACGAAATGTCTTTGTTTCATCATAATCTTCTTGGGCATGGTGAGGAGGCTGCAGCACATCGAGTGTCCGCATCGATGATCCCCGAGCAATACATGACGACGATAGGAAAAACCACCACATCACCGCGTACGACCAGCCACCAGCGCGCGATCAGCCTCCACGCAAAACCGGCAACCCTCCACGTGCGACGAGGAGGAGGGAGAGAGAGAGTGAGAGGGTGAGCGAGTGAGAGAGAGCGCGCGCGAGAGAGAGAGAGAGAGAGAGCGCGAGCGTGCGTGCGTGCGTGTGTATATGTGTGTGGTGTGTGTGTTGTGTGTGTGTGTGGTGTGTGTGTGTGTGTGTGTGTGTGATGTGTGTGTGTGTGTGTGTGTGTGGTGTTGTGAGTCAGAGAGGGAGAGAAAGAGAGCGCCAGAGAGAGAGAGAGAGAGCGAGAGAGAGAGAGAGAGAGAGAGAGAGAGAGAGAGAGAGAGAGAGAGAGAGAGAGAGAGAGAGAGAGAGAGAGAGAGAGAGAGAGAGAGAGAGAGCGATAAAGAGAAAGATGCTGAAGGGAAAACGGAAGATAAGCGTGTAAGCTTAAAAGAGAGCGAAAGAGTTCTGGATATGAGGAAGATAAGATAAAACTGGGAGAAATGGATAAACGGAGCGAGAATAAGTCACTGTAGGGGGCGAAATGATGGGTCCAGGGTAATAGATGGGCCAGTGTTAATACCATGGAGGGAGAGGCGATCGGTGCCAGAATAGAATAGTGGAAACAGGGGGATAGAGAAAGAAAGGGCGGGAAGAAAAGTTGAACGAAAACCATGAGAGAACCATATATGACTATATGGGAAAGAATCAAATACAGCGATCTCCGCTTTATCGTCCTCGGATAAACAGGTGCATCGATATTTTCGAACAATCATTGATCACGTTGTTATGTGTTCATTGCTTAATCGGGACCACCGCATAATCGGGGCATTGTCATGGTTCCCGAACTGTCCCGATAAAGCAGGCACCACTCTACATATGGGAGAATGAGAGAGAAAGAAAGAGAGAGAGAGTGTGTGTGTGGCAGAGAGAGAGAGAGGGGGGGGGGAGACGCGACGGTAGGAAGGACATCTGTTAGGACTATATAGGGGCGGGATAGAGAAGGAAGACGAAATAGACACGGAAGAACGAGATCACCAGGTAGACGGGAGAAGTTGCTTGCAAAGGAGATGTATGAGCATAACGTTCAGCGTTAAGGGTCCGGATAATCTTAGTGATCGAATTTGGTTTAGCGTCCTTGAGCCATCAGACCTAGGGTTCAGAGTCATTGCATCAAGGATTGCCCAAGCCCTAGGGGCTAGGTGTAACTCTACGATTAGGCTTACTGTCAGTTAGCTTAGCGGCGGGCGTCAGGTTATAGTTATCGTCTAGAAAAGGTTGAGAGTCTGGATTATGTTTCGTGCCAATGATAGCTAGTGTCACTACCAGCTTAGCGCGTCATACGTGGCTTACCGTTGTGGTTTGCAGGGTGTCCCCACCCGTGTCTTATTCATACAAGCTGCGTGCGGATCGGCGAGAAATGCCACTTTAATATCTTTGTGTACATTTCTCATCGTAAATGTTAACTTCTTCCATGGTAGACTATTTAGAGTGTCTTTTAGAAACCTAACCGACTTATCAGTCCCGCCACGGCACTATTTGCAATGTCACCTTGGGGTCTATCAGTATAGTCATTTATGTGTACAGCAAACGCACTTGAGGTAACTTCCCTTGCGGCGAAACAAGCCGAAACCCCTCCATCCACTCCCTGCATAGTGTTGTCCGTCTCCTCATATAATTATGTTGTGTAAAACCACCCTGCCTTGGCCGAGAAAAAACTTGCAGCGAGCTATCTGGCAGTCGGTCAGTTGTTTTCCGGCCGCAAAAGGTTATCGAAACACAAATAACACGCGACTTTGTCTGTCGCATGTACGTCAGTTACGTTTCTGGTGGCGTAGAACCTCTAAATTTGCATTTAGTAAAATTGCGAAAACTGGTCAAATGAGTAAAAACAAAATTTAACTTCCATTATCGGCCGGCATGCGCTTGCGGGGTAGCGCTGTATTGCCTTCTCTGCCGCCTCCCGTGTCGCCGCCACCGCGCCCGGCGATTGTCTTGCTAGTTTTGTCAAAAATAATTTCGTTTCCACCCACTACAAGTGAATCTATTTTTGGTTATTTAATATAGAAAAACAACTGCGTGATACTGTTGTGTTAGTATTGCTCCGATTATTATGTTTGCTCGCGTTTTATTACATTTATTCATCAAATTCATGTTTTTCAAAGTTGGGAAATGAATGCCGTGTTATTGCAGCATTTCCTTCGTTCGCGTTAAAGAAGATTACTATAGGCACTCCGATGTTCTCATCAGATAGTAATATCTATCGATATTTTTTCAGTACTAGTTATGCATCTCCTTGCCAATGGCCACGATGCCATTTCTCTCGCTCCCACGCCCACTGCGACTGTTTTCGTATTTACCCACGAGTTAGTAAAATAAATCGCAAATCGGGCGCGGTCACGTATATTGTTGATTACGACTTACGACGTGTTAAGCTTCACACGTGTATACGCGCGCGCGTTTTGTGTGTATGTCTGTGCGTGCGTGCGTGCATGCGCGTGGGTCCGCGCGCGTGTATGTATGTGTAATGGTAAACGAACGGTGAGGGTCGAGCACATTGTGCATGCAGTTTTCTGTGTTTGGAAACGATATGAAACGCTCTAGGCCTGTACAGCATGCACCTTTTCTTATGAGACTGTTTGGGAACGGTGTATATATTTTATTGAAACGTTTTTCCCACATATTTACTACGTGTATGCATTGTTGTTGTCTGCACTTGAGTTGAATAAATTGAATCATGCTCCTACAATAACCATTAGAATAGTCTATGACATGTTTTTTAGCACAACACACAGCGACTGTTATGTTATCACCGGAATATAATTTACATTCGTAAATAATATCTACATATAGGAAGTTTCTATTCTCAACAACGGAACAAGTATAATTACAACTACAAAATCCACATGGATAGAAAAGCATTCTCAAGTTGGAAAACGAGAAAGTGACCTAGATGACGATCATCATTGAAGCAATTGTTTCCTATCATTCATAACACGATCTATTCGACTATACCAATAATCTACCAGTGACATGCCGTGATATAACATTTTACATTTCTTCTCCACCAAAATGATAAAGAATAGCCTTAACAATTTCTTATGCAGTCTAAAAGATTGACGCATAGTTCTATATATAATTTAACCACAGACTGCGCAAAAAAGTACCACGTGGATATAGTAAATGAACACTTGAATAAAGTTTTGAAGCTACTGTTTGTTCTATCAATCTTGTTACCACGATGCAAACCTGCATAATAATATATAAATATATATGCATATTAACATCTTACACAAGTGAGAATTTGCCATATACATAGTGTTACTGCTTTTCCCGCAGTCAAGAAGTTTTTGTGTTTTGCAACTGGCCATTACAAGCCAATATAGTTCTGATTGATGATTTTGGAAGTTATTACAGTGAAACATTATATCTCGTTTAGATAGTTACTGTTACACCATCACCTTTCCAAACTCAACAGTGGCACGTACCCCACAACTGATATTGCGAAAATGTACTCGAACCTTCAATGACAAAATGTCAATCCTTCTAAATGAACAATTCAGTGTAAATGCTTATGAGTGGATATATATAACCACGGATTAGACGAATGCCATAGAAACGTCTGCTAACTAGGAATAAAAGGAGATCATTCGGTTTTTCTGACATCTGACGCATTCCGCGGTGAACCGATGGTGAGAATACCAGTTGAGTACAAGGCTACAAAAGAATTTCCTTTCACTGACACACCTTCCAACTGATACGGGTATAACCAACCCATAGACAACACAGACACGCAGACGCACGCACACACGAACATACGTGTATATGTATGTACCTACGTTCTTACGCACGTACATACACAAATAATTGTGTGTGTGTGTGTGTGTGTGTGTGTGTGTGTGTGTGTGTGTGTGTGTGTGTGTGTGTGTGTGTGTGTGTGTGTGTGTGTGTGT